AGCCATCTAGATGCAATGATGGGTCGGTCTCTCCTTGTCCAGAGCAAAGAAGAATGAAGAAAATCAAAGATTCATGGAAAGAATTAGTCCTAGAGACTGGTACACCATGTGATCTGCAGCCTATATCACTATGAGACCAGAAGAACTAGATGGTGCCTGGCTACCACTGTCAACCACTCAGAGGAGGATCTATGTAGGAGACCCTAGATAAAAAGGGAGAACAATGTGGAACAAAACTGAAAAGCATTTGCAAAAAAAAAAAAAAAAAAAAGGGAGACCAGGTTTGCTGGTCTGATAGAGCCTGGTGGAACCACTGGGATTATGGCCCCTAGCTGTCCTTTAGGTCTGGAATTGAACCCACACCTGTGGTTTCCAGCCAAGCAAAAGACAGGTATAGGAGTTGAACATTTACCTGAGGTAAATACACTGCTTGGAGATAACAATCATGGGAGAAAGAAGGGCTGCTTATGCACAGGGAGACAGCTCAGGGGGCAGGAGTACATGGAGGGATGGACACAGGGAAGAGGTGACTGTTGGGAGGAAGTGGGAAGGGAGCTGTTGCATTGTGGTGAATTGTGGTCAATGTCATGAGACAAAGTGTATGTAAACTGCTGTATGGAAAGTGAATTTGCTCTCTAAATTTTCACCCAAATCACAATTAAAAAAAAAAAAGGCCTGCACAACAAGAACCCTTTTTCTGGATTGGTTTCATTGATGCTTTGTCCCTGAAGTCAGAAATACCTTGCCAGTAAGGACGACGTTTTAAAGTACTTCCAATACTGGACAATGCCCCTGGCCACTCAGAATCCTATGAGTTCAATAACGAAGGCGTGGAAGTGGTTTACTTGCCCCCAAACACGAAGTCTCTAACTTAGTCTCTGGATCGGGGGTCTTAAAGACCTTTAATGGTACTCTATGGAAGGATTGTCAACACTATGCAAGAGAACCCTGATAAGAGTATCATGAAAGTCTGGAAGGATTACATCTTTGAAGATGTCATCATTCTTATAGAAAAAGTCATAAAAGCCAACAAGTCTGAAACAATAAATTCGTGCTGGAGAAAGATGTGTCCAGATGTTGTACATGACTTCACAGGACTTAAGACAGAGCCAATCAAGGATATCATGAAAAAGATTGTGGATATAGCAAAAAAAAAAAAAAAAAAAAAAAAGTGAAAGGTAAAGTGTTTCAAGACAGGGATATTGGAGAAATTCAAAAAGCTAACAGATACCCATTGTTTTGGTTACCTACTGCTGTTCTAACAGAAAATACCACAAATGGGATGGAATAGCTTTAACAAATAGCAGTCTATTCTCTTACAGTTTTGGAGGCTAGAAGTCTGAATTCAAAGTGCCAGGCTCTAGGGGCTGGGTCAAAGTCTCTCAACCTTGGGCTTTAGCTCTGCCTCTTGCTTTTGGCACACTGAAGTTAGAGGCTTTTCTTCACTCAGGCAGCTGCTGGCTGCTAAGGCTGACAAATCCAAGTTCAACAAGAAAAAGGCACAGTCCTATTATCACCAAACCACATGGCTGGCCATTGATTCAAGTCCATTAAAAGTCCCAAGATCAGCAGAGTATGCCAAGCTGCTGAATGAAGACTGCTACATGCAGGGCCCAAGCATGTCATAAGCTAGAGACCATTCCCTAAGCTTCTCTTTATATATGGGAAGCAGACCACATCCGTAAAGCAGCTACTCAGCTTCTTGTGGCAGATTCCACCATGGAGTTGATTGCCAGTCTCATCGTCGGGAATAATTACCACCAACTGCCCAGCCACTCAAAAGTAGGCCCAGCCAAGTTGACATATAACTTTAACTACCACAGCCACCAGAAGAATTAACAGATGATGACTTGATGGAGATAAGTGCTTCTGAACAATGCCAGACAACGAGGAAGACAATACAGAAGAAACAGTGCAAAAAAACAAATTGACTTTAGACAGTCTGGCAGAAAGGTTTTCATTATTCAAGACTGTTTTTGACTTCTTTTATGACATGGACCTTTCTAAGACACAGGCATTGAAACTAAAGCAAACAGTGGAAGAAGGATTGGTACCATATAGAAACATTTTTAGAGTAACGAAAAAGCAAAAAAGTCAGACAGAAATTATGATGTATTTCTGTAAAGTTACACAGAGTTTGCTTGCCTCTCCTGCCTCCCTTTCCACCTCCTCCACCTCCGCCACCCTTGAGACAGTACAACCAACCCTTCTTCTTTTCCTCCTTCTTCTACTCAGCATGAAGACAAGGAAGATGAAAACTTAGATGACGATCCACTTCCAGTTAATGAATAGTTAATAATCATTATGTTGTACAGTTAATAAATTTATCTGTTCTGTATATGTGTGTTTTTGTGTGAAAATCTAATAAATGTATGACAAGAACTGTGGTAACTGACTGTTTATGTTATTGGTAAGGCTAAAAGTAGGCTATTAGTATTAAGTTTTGGAAGAGTCAAAAGTTACATGTGGATTTTTGACTCCATAGGGAGTCGATGCCCCTAACCTCTGTGTTGTTCAAGGGTCAACTGTATATTTGTTGTTGTGTGTAGTCGAGTCACATGAAGACACTCATGTTGTTGTTGTTGTTAGGTCCCCTTGAATTAGTTCTGACTCATAGCGACCCCATTAACAACAGAATGAAATATTGCACCATCTTACACCATCCCCATAATCATTGCTATGTTTGAGATCATTGCTGCAGTCACTGTGCCAGTTCATCTAATTGAGGGTCTTTCTTTCTTGCTGATCCTCTACTTCACCAAGCATGATGTCCTTCTCCAGGGACTGGTCCCTCCTGATAACACGTCCTAAATACATGAGACAAAGTCTCACCATCCTTTTAAGGAACATTTTGGCTGTACTTCTTCCAAAGCAGATTTGTTCATCTTCTGGTAGTCCATGGTATATTCAATATTCTTTGCCAAAACCATTACTCAAAGACATCAATTCTTCTTCAATGTTCCTTATTAACTGCCCAGCTTTTGCATACATATGAGGCAACTGAAAATACCATAGCTTGGGTCAGGTGCATCTTAGTCCTCGAAGTGACATCTTTGCTTTTAAACACTTAAAAGAGGTCTTTTGCAGAAGATTTGTCCAGTACAATACATCATTTGATTTCCTGATTGCTGCCTCTATGGGTTGACTGTGGATCCAAGTAAAATGAAATTCCTGGTAACTTCAATATTTTCTCTATCATTATGTTGCTTATCAATCCAGTTACGAGGATTTTTGTTTTATTTATATTGAACAACTTAAAAATGGCCAACATTAATGAAACAATAATTTAGACACTGGGCAAAGGTGATGCAGACTGTGATTCTTGAGAAAAAGGAAACAAACACAACAAACCCTATTATTCCCTAGGTTTTATGTCTCGAAGTACATTCCAGTGAAGCAAGGAGAACAGCTGAATGTGCAGCAACGCAGTGCTACTGAGTTGGGAAGGCTGAGGTTAGAATTTGAGGTGGCTGAGGCTGATAAAAACTGCACAGTTCCAATTAGATAGGAACTATGCAGAGAAAAAGAACTCATATATCTACATAACAGTACCCTTGACTCTTTGCTGAATACTCTGATGTGCATGCATAAGGCCAAGCAACAAGCAACTCGAGAGCTGCTAACTGGGGAGTTCCCAGAGCTCATGCAAAACTGAGAAGCATTCAAATTCCCATTAGCTATATTAGATAGTCCTTGTCTTTGAGCTACATTAGATAGTCCACTTGGGGGCATTCACCTTAGTGGTGGAGCTAAATTATCCACTGAATAAAGGCCATTCTAAACCTGCTCTAATAAATCTTTAAAATACTCTTTGCATGTCTGACCCATAGACTTAGGACTTGCCAACCTCTACAACTGCTTGAGCTATTTGCTACATGAGGTATTTCCTATTTTATCAAGGCAAATCTCTCTCTCTCTCTCTCTCTCTGGATATACTTCATTGGTTTTGCTTCTCTAGAGAACCCGGTTTAAGACATTTTTTAAAATGTAAAAGCCATTCTTAGCTTGTAGGCTATATAAAAATAAGTCAGGGCTGGATATGGACCACAAGTGTTATTTGCCAACTCTTGAACTAGCAGAACAAAGCTCAACAATCTTTAAAGGAAGACAACAAAATCCAAGCCATTAACAATATAACATATACAATGTCCAACATTCAATCAAATATTACTTGGCATGCGAAGAAGCAGAAAAATGTAACCCATAATCAGGAAAAACATCAGTGCATAGAAACAGGACAAGAATGATGGAATTAGTAGTTCAAATTGTATTCAATTATTTAAAGGAATACACGAACAGAGTGAAAAATAGAAGATATATAAAAAGAAGGAATTTCTAGAGACAGAACATATATGAACTGAAACAAAGAATGAAGGATGAGATTAGCAGCAGATTAAATATTACAAAAGAAATCAGCAAATTCAAAGATAGTAATAGAAACTATCCAACTGAAGCACAGATACAAAAAATTAACAAATAATGAGCAGAGTAGTAATCACTTGTGGCATAATATCAAGCTAATTTATATGTAATTGGAATCCTGGGTAGGAAAAAAACACAACAACCCACTGTTGTCTAGTGAATTACAACTTGTAGTGATGCTATAGGACAAAGCAGAATAGCCCCATAGGGTTTCCAAGGAAGACTGTAAATCTTTACAGAAGCAAACTGCCACATTTTTCTCCCATGCAGTGGCTGATGTTTGAACCACTGTTCTTTTGGTTAGCACCTGAGTGTTTTAACCACTGTACCACCAGGGCTCTTTGGAATCCTGGGTGGGGAGGTGCAAAAAATATTTGAAGAAATAATGGTGAACATTTTTTCCTCAAGTTGAGGAAAACTATAAATCCACAAGAACCTCAATGAACCCTAAGGAGAATAATTAACCTCTCTGAATATCTGAAATGAGGGTTGAAGAATCAAACAGCAGTAACTTTAAACCTGGTATTTCATAAATAGAAAATTATCTGGGTTCCTAACAGAATATATTTTTCTTTTACCTTGTCAGGTCTTAAGCACCGAAGAATTATTATTTTCTGTAGTTCATTTAGTGTTGTATCCATTGGTTGTGGAAATTTAGCATTGTGTGGCTCTTTACTGTCATAGATTGCCCTCCATTCTAATATATTTTCAGAAAAATGCTCCCTAATGGAAAAAAAAAAGCTTAGTATTTTTTTTTTTTCATTGCAGAAAAAAATGGAAAGAGAGATTGCTAGCAAGGGGATGAAAAAAGAAAGCTATAGGACTACTTAAAAATGATTAGATTGCAAATTTACTTATCGCTATACAGTACTAAGTCATCAAATTCCAATAATTACCTGAGTCCTTTAAAGGCAGGATATTCACTTGCACGACAAATTTCCTCCCAGCTTTTATCCTGTAGCCAAGATGGATCAGGATTTTTCTCAGCACTCTTAAGACTTACTCCTCCAGTTAAAAGAAACATCAGTTCCTGGTATTCAATCTCTTTCCTTGCCCTGTATTCCCAAAATAAGTACTGTTGTAAATTGTTGATCTTAAAATTAAATGAAGTCAATTTCAGCTTGTAGCCAGGATGGAGAAAACAAGACTGAACCTAGCCTCCAGCTATGAACAGCTAGAAAACTGAGCAAAATGAGTGAAACAATTGTTTTCTTGAAATTGTACAAGAGCCAGTACAGGACTTTAGTCCTTGAAAGGAGGGACATAAATTAGGTAAGCCCTAAGATTGTCTCAGTTGTCTGCCAGAAGGCACTTTCTGGACCGTGGATTATGGAGGGAATCTAAATCAGAGTTTGACAGTATTGCTGAGCTGAAGAGACAGAGAGAAGAGTCAAGAAAGCCTGAGGAAGCAGCTTCATGATTTAAAAAAAAAAAAAAATTGCATCGATTCTGAGTCATAGCAACGCTGTAGGACACAGTAGAACTGCCCCATAGGGTTCTTAAGTCTATAAATCTTTATGGAAGCAGACTGTCTCATCTTTCTCCTGTGGAGTGGCTGGTGGGTTCAAACTGCTGACCTTTTGGTTAGCAGTCAAATGCTTAAACCACAGTGACACCAGAGTTGCTTCATGATAAAGGAGCTCCAGAAATCTGCACAGGTATCCTCTTGGTTCTATTGCTAAACTCTATCAGGCCAGACAGTGAATGTCTGGGGAGTTGTAAACAAAGTAATTCTCAGATCTCACACCAAACCAAACCCACTGCCCCATCTTCCTTCCGTGGAGAAGCTGGTGGGTTTGAACTGCCAACCTTCTGTTTTGCAGTCAAATGCCTTACACACTGCACCACCACAGCTCCTTGTGAGTTCTTGCAGCCAGGGTTGGGTCTTTGTTGAACACCAGAGGAATTCAGTGGAGACACCAGAGGGATCACATCTTGGTAGTGAAGCTAATGTAGCCTTAGTGTGAAGGCTACTCTAAAATTACCATAAGAAATCTTAGAAAACAAGCCTTGAAAGGATCAAAATAATTCAGTAATAATTTAATTACCTGGAAAAGTAAAGTCTAATACTCTTTAAAGGAATCATTTATCAATACAAAATTCACAACATCCTTAACCAAAAGAAAAATCAGTCAATAGAAATAGACCTAGAACTAACAGACATGATACAATTAGCAGACAAGAATGTTAAAACATCTATTATAAATATATTGAAGGCTTTAAAGGAAAATGTAAACGTAATGAGAAAAATGGATATAGATAGATAGATAGAGATGTATTATTGTTGTTGTTATGTGCCGTCGAGTCAGACCCGACTCATAGCGACCCCTCCTTGGGTTTCTGAGGCAGTATCACTATGGAAGTAGTGTATAGACACAGAAATATAAAGAAACCCAAAAGCAACTTCTAGAGACAAAAAACACCATGTTTGAAATATAAATTCACTCATTTCTTTTTGCCCTCAGATGTATAGAAGTTAAAACTATTCCTTACCAGCAGACCTGCCCTACAAGAAACATTAAAGGAATTCCTTCAGGAAGATGGAAATCTGTATTTACACAAAAGAACGAGAGGACCAGAAATGGTAACTATGTGGGTAAACATAAAAAATCCTATTATTTAAATCTCTTTAAAAATTGACTATTTAGAGAAAATAACCACAATGTACTGTGGAGTTTTTAACATATCTGCCAATAAAATATATGATACATATATGTGTTATTGTTCTCTTTACAGACAGGCATGTCTATTATTATTTACAGGCAAGGTGATCCCTGGGGGTTGGTTCAGTGCCAAGTCTGAAGGATATCTAAGGGCCACAGTCTCAGGGGTTCCACCAGTCTCCATTAAGTCTGGTATTTATGATTTTGAATTTTGTTCTACATTTTCCTCCCACTCTAAGACCTTCAACTGTGATCAGAGTAGTCAATAGTGGTAGACAAACACCATCTAGATTTTCTTGTCTTAATCTAGAAGAAGCTGTTGCGTTAGTCTTTTAGGCTAATTGCGTCCTTGAGTCTTTGATTTTCTTCACTCTCTTTGCTCCAGATGGGGACAGACCAATAGTTGCATCTTAGATGGCTGCTCACTAGCTTTGAAGACCCCAGTTGCTATTTAACACAACAGGAAATAGAACATTGTCTTTGTGAACCATATTATGCCAATTGACTTAATTGTCCCTGAAGACTGTGGCCCTAAGCCCCCCAAGCCCAGTGATTCATTCCTTCAAGTTGTTTTGTTATAAGAAGCCGTATTTTTAAGATTAGGTCTTTCTAGTATGTTTTCTAAATAACTAAATTAAGAAAAAAAATAAGTAACTTACAGAAGAAGATTGGCACATAATAAAAAGGAAAACAACATCTTGTCCTTCTCAAATAGTGATCGGCATATATTACAATACAAGTTGTATGTGAAGTGGTCATTTAAGTATCGGAGACGCTTTTCCAAAATTTTGGATTTGTTACTAAAAGGTTAAAAAGAGGAAAATATACTGGGTCAAAATAAAATTAAGAAAAAACAAAAACATATGAATTAAAATGTAAGCTGTTTTCATTTTATCCAGTATTAAAAACACACTATGTGTAAAACTGCACACACACACAAATAAGTGAATGTAAAACTGACAAAATATGAATAAGCTCTACATATTGTATTAATGTTAATTTCCCAGTATGAAATTGAACTTTAGTTATGTAAGATGTTACCACTGGAAAAACTGTGTGATGGCTATATGGGACCTCACTAAACAGCTTTTTTTTTTTTTTTTTTTTTGAAGTTTCTTGTGAATCTATAAGTATTTCAAAATAAAGTGTTTTTTTTTTTTTTATAGAGCATAATGCAATGAAGAAGTGAAATATGGTTAACACTATTTCCAAAATCCTACATTTCTTATTCTACTCTAAAATAACTGAAAACAATCAGTTAATCAACTATTTGAAGCTCTATTAGTATGAGGCTACAGAGGGAAAAAAATGTAAGAAATAAGGATGTATGAAACATTCACATACCCCTTAAAATGTAGATAAAGATCTACACATTAAAAACACACATTAAAAATCAGAAAATATACAGACAAAAGTGTCTATTTCTACGTAGGGTTATGACTGTTACTTATTCTTTACACTTTTTTAATATTTTTAAAAATTTTGCAGTATTTTTTTCCATTAAATTTTTTAAAAGTAATATTTGTGGCAATGTAAAATGACATAGTCATTCTGAATAATAGTTTGGCAGTTTCATTAAAAACTGAACAGCAACTACCACATGTCCCAGCAATGGCACTTCTGGACATTTATCTCAGAAAAATGAAAACTTACATTCACACAAAAACCTGTCCATGAATGTTTATAGCAGTTTTATTTATAGTAGCCAAAAATTGGAAATAACTCAGATGTCCTTCAACAGGCGAGTGATGAGACAAATTTGTATGTTTGCATCACAGAATATTTCTCAACAATAAAAAGGAGCAAACTATTGGTACTTTATTAATTGAAATTAAACTAAACTGTTGTTTAGTTTAAAAATGGCTTCATGGGGTAGTTTTGCTTCAAGGCTTAAAGATCATTTCTTGCCAATATATTCAGGTGTTTACCCATTGTCAATAGATCTAGTAAGTCTGGTTTTCATATGAATTGGTAGTTTCTATCCCCAATTTTCTTCCTGTTGATCAAGATCCATCTATTGGGTCCTTGATGAAAATATTCAATAATGGTAGCTGAACACCATCTATTTCTTTTGATCTCATGGCAGAGAAGGTAGTAGTTTATGAAGACAAACTTGTAGTCTATTTCCTTCTCCAATTCTTGGGTCTCCTTTTTCCTCTGCTGTTCCAGGTGAATAGAGACCAATTGTCATATTCTGGTGGCTGCTCATAAGCTTTTAAGAACCTAGGCACTATTCCCTGAACTAGGAGGTAGCAGACTTCATGTTTTTATTACTTTTAGAAAATTCTCTGCATGTATTTCTTTAAATAAAACTTTGTCCTATTACCTTTTTTCTCTATATACAGGATTCCAATTATACACAGGCAAAACTTTTCACTATGTCCTTTTTCCTCTGTGCTTCAATATGCATATTTTCTTCTAATCTGTAAACCAGCTCATTAATTTCCCTTTTGCGTTATCTAACTTGCATTAAACCATATATTGAGATCTTAATTTCAATCACTGACTATTTTGGTTCTAGAATTTCCATTTAATTCTTTTAAAAATAGATTCCAAGTCTCTGGTGAAATTTGCCTTCAACATATTGATAGTTATTTTAAAGAACATGAATGATAACTGTTGTTATTGTTTGGTGCCATCAAGTCGGCCCCGATTCATAGCGACTCCTCCTCCTTGGGTGTCCAAGACAGTATCACTTCAGAAGTAGATTGCCCAACCTTCCTTCCGAGGAGTGGTTGGTGGGTTTAAACAGCCAGCCTTCTGTTTAGCAGTCAAGTGCCTTAGGCATTATGCTACGAGAGCTATCTAAATCACCTATTGGTCTATTTCTATTGCTTGTTTTTTTCACTTGGTTTTGGCATTTCATGGTTTCTTAGCATACTATGTAAACTTTTATTAAATATTAGACACAGTGTGTGAAACACTGTATGGAATCTGAATAATGTATCTTCCTCTGGAGAGTATTTAATTCTCTCCAAGCAGAAAGAGAGAGAGGACATAGGCAGATCTACTCAAAGCTAGGCTTCACACTTTGCTATGTTTGCTCTATTTCCCTTACTTATAGGAAATAGCTCTTCTTGAGATCTCAACTGAGTATGTAGCAGCACCCCTCCATCTTGGCAGCTTCTCCAGTCTCTGTCTTACCAGCTTCAGGAAATTTCTGAATAGTTATTTATCCATCTAGCTGCAGCTTTCTTTTTGTTTCCTTACTCTGAAGTTCTCTCCTCTCCAGGATCTTGTCCCCTCAACTTCCAGCCATGAGGCAGCACCAAACTCCAACCTCTGTCTCCTCAGTCCAGCCTAGATTGCTTACTAGCCCTAGATTGCTGCTTTCCACTTTGTCTGTTCCTTTGCTCTGAGAGTTAGATAACACCCTAAGGGAAAAAGTAGAAGTCTATATGGGCCTCAACTTGGTGTGCTTTTCTTCTCTCCAGTATCTTGGTTCCTCAAATTCTGATTTCATCAGTTACTCTCCAAATCCTTTGAAGTTTTTATATGTGTTCCTAACAGGGACAGTCAAATAAAAGCTACTGTATAATGGTCAGAAGCAGAAGTATCTTATTAAATGTCAATGACTATGGATTTTTGGTTTTAAAATTTCAAAAAGTTTCATTTGGATCTTTTTCAAACCTCTTGTTCTCTTTTCATTGTAGCTTACCTTTTCTTAAGTTTTTTTTTTCTTTCATCTCTTTAATCTTCAAAACATACTTATTTTATGTTCTTTTTACAGATCTTACAAAATCTTAAATTATTAGGAATGCTAATCCTCCTTGTGGGAGCTCTGGTAGCATAGTGGCTAAGGCACTTGACTGCTAACCAGAAGGCTGGCGGTTCAAACCCACCAGCCACTCCTCGGAAGGAAGGTTGGGCAATCCAATTCCGTAGTGATACTGCCTCGGAAACCCAAGGAGGGGTTGCTATGAGTCAGGGCTGACTCAACGGCACATAACAACAACAACAACAACAATCCTCCTTGTTTGTCTCATATGCTCTTTCATGGTAGTTCATTTCCTTATATGTTTGCTAAAGTTTTACTGTGAGCTCATCTTTGACAGGAATCATTTATTATGTAGAAATTCTGAGTAGCCTAGGTTGTGGAAGTGTGCCTCCAGAATAGTTCTGTGTTTCAATCTTTCATGGCCCTAGATGACCTTGGGGTCATAGCCTGGAACCAACATTTATGCTAATTCCTCAGCTTGACTTTCTTCCATTATATGGGTGCATAAATTCAAATTCCAAATCACAATTGGGATAATTTAGGAATTTCAATCACTCGAGATTATTCCATCGAGAGCCCATATAGAAACAAATTTCTTTTAGTCCCTATGGTAAAACTTATCATATTTATCATATTTTTATTAGCATGTATCATAGTTACTAAATATTAGACATTGCTTTAAACACTTTACAAATAGTATCTCATTTAATTTTCATAAACAATTCTATAATTTAGATACTATTATTATCCTTATTTTGCTTACTACAAAAATAAGAAAAAAAAGTTAAAATTTTTAAAGAAGGAAGGTGAGAATAAATGATGCTAAGTCACGGTTACCTGTCATGAATAGAGTTGATATAAAGGTTCACAAACCAGCTCAGAGAGTATTGGTACATGGGATCAATGTTAGCCAGGTCTGCAATACTAAAGAATAACACTGATGAATGTTTAGCGATGGGTCTGTAGCCTTCTCGAGACTCTGCTATTTTGAGTTCTGTTTTTTCTGCAATCTAGGAGAAGAGAAAAATCAAGATTAAGAAAAGAGAGAATGTATAAAAAAAAATACCTCCTAACCAAAACACAAAGTTTATTTTAAAAAAAGAAGGGGGGAGGGCGTGGGAGAGGAAAGAAGAAAGAGGGAAAGGGGGAGGAAGAAAGGGAGGGAGAGACAGAGGGAGGAAATAAGAAAAGAAAATCAGCATTGCAGATTAACGGTGTGATTAGCCATCAACCATCTCATTCTTATTTGAGGTGTACCAAAGCCGTTAATCCTTGCTTATTCATTGCCTGATTATGACATGTGTCTACTACAGTCATTCATCCCCTTTTATGAAAGAGAGCGATAGAGAGCATGTATATATATTTAATGGGTCAACATGTTTACCAGAGCATAACACAATGTCTGACGAAGTAGTTACTAAAAAAATGCCTGTTGGCTACGGAATGTTTATTCCATCATAAAAAGGAGAAGGTCTAATACATGCCAGGACTTGAATGAGCCTTGGAAACAGTATGCTAAGTCAACTAAGACACAAAAAGACAAATATTATATGATCCTACTTATATGAAATAACTTGAATAGATAAATAACTAGAGACAAACAGTAAATTAAGAGTCCTTGGGTGCCACAAATGGTTAAGTGTTAGATTACTAGTGTAAAGGTTGTTGGTTTGAACTCACCCAGAGGCAGAAACGTGAGAAGCTGAAGGCAGGTGGTACTGGACATTAGTGCTAAAATGTATCAGGACCAGAGTTGATTTCTATATGAAAGATGAATGTGCAAGGGAACAGACACAAATGTTTTACAAAAGAAACTGGTCTTCAGGGGGTGCAGAGAGCACAGGTGAGGATCACACGGCTCAAAGACAGGGGGAGAGACACAGAACATAGCAACTTAATGCTTTCTATTTACTTCTGAGGCCTGAGTGTACTTCATGTAATTGAGTTATAAAATATTCCTTTGTATTTTTTTTTATTTGAGCTAATTTGAGTGGGTTTCTTTTCCTTGCAAACAAACTTTTCCAAGAATTAAACAGTATAATCATAAATGAACTAAAAAGGTAAGCTCTGCACCTCAATCTTGACTAAAGATTAAGTAAGTAAAACAGAGTTATCAGCCATGGAAATTAATGACCTTTTACCTATGAAAGCATAATCTCAGCATTCCCACTGATTCTTCTATTTAAACCTTAACTTTTCAATTCAAATGCCATTTAATCATTAATATCAACATCAAGCCAAAAAAAAAAAAAAATCCAAATACTGTTATTATTTCTAACCAGTACTTAATAATTTAACTCATATTCCATGGCTTGATGTTCAGTATATTTATAAAGTATTTTTGCTAATTCCTTACTATGAAATACTAGACTTGATAAATAGATATGGTTTCTTTTTATCATTTACCACTAATATCCTCCAATCAAGGAATAAGACATTTCCCAAGAAATAAATATTGCAAGTATATGTTAGACATATATATTAAAAGGGGATAATTGTTTATAAAAAAAATTCCTGCTATATAGGAGCTCTGAAAGCATAGTGCCTAAGGCACTTGACTACTAACCAGAAGGCTGGCGGTTCAAACCCACCAGCCACTCCTCGGAAGGAAGGTTGGGCAATCCT